TAGTAATTTGTTCCCCAACAATGACAGGCAAGCAGTTGCGAGAGAATATGTCATGATTAGCTGAAAGCATAGTGACCACTTAAGTAAAAAATATAAGGAAAAATACAATTCATAAAAGATACATGACTGCACTTAAAAGTACAACAAATAATGATGTGACATATTGTGCTCGGTGATAATGAAAGGAAAAAGTATAAATGATAAAAATGAGATAAATGCTAGACTCCCAAATAAATACAGGTTGAGTCTTGAAATCTCAAAAGGTGAGATAAATTCAAATGTCTAGATTTCCAGATTTACACAAGCTGCATATAGGATTGAAAGACAAAACAAAAATAAAAAGAGAACCATGAAACATTTACTGATATAGATATATCACAGTACCTATACATTGAATAATCAGTTTAGGCAACAAAATAGCCAACAACAAAATCAACCAGGCCAAGTGGATGACAAAAAAGTGTTGGTAAATGAAATCATCGCTGTTTCCAGTGAAAATCAAATTGTTAGGGGCAGTAAAGGATTCTCCATATTGTTATCTCACAGGTACATGGCTTTCTGGGTTGTCCACATAGATATACCCAGCTTTGTTCTCTTTTGTACATGGGTTGCACCCCAAGTTGCCCTTTTATACATTCTATTTATCTTTTTCTCTGAAAAAGAAAACTAGTTTACTTACAAATATATGATGCTAATTAAGACAACAGAAAATAAATAAATAAGCCCAAACTGAATAACAGGGTTAGTAATTGATGCAGACAAAAGTTCAAAGCAGTTCTTTGTAACTTCACAATTCTGAACATGACTGGAAAGGCCTTAAATAAGAAGCTTAGCATGTTTGGCTTTAATACAGCATCTACTTTATATATGAAACCTAAATGTGAACTTAAGACATCAAGACATCAAAACACTATTGTTTTTACATTAATAAGCTAAGAAATAAAAACCGAACTGAGTGTTCACGGGGATTGATCAATCCTAATAAAAAATTTCAACAAAAGTGACAAAAGAAAAGTGCAAAATGCATGAAAGGAGGCAAAACTCACAGGAATAGCAGCATTCCGGAAATCCTTGACAGTGAACTCTACGTCTGGGCTTACGGTCCCCAAGAGATGATGTTTGACTCCTATAAATTCATATAAAAGGACCCATTGCAAAATGCATTCGAGCTCACTAAAACTAATCTTTACTACATACATACGCAAACAGATGCATATAGAGAGATGAAAAGGGAGGGGTGTTAATGCTAACCCTTTTGCTCATGGAGGGGAACCTTGTTGGTGAGAACATCAAGGCCTCGGTAGACCTGCATGGAATCGGAGTTGATGATTTCTATCGGAAAGTGGGATGCTAGATCAATTGCTAGTTTTGATTTGCCTGACCCTGTAGGACCCATTATCACCACCACCTTCGGCTTCGCCTCCTCTTCTTTTCTGGGTCCTCCGTTATTAGGGTTTAAAGTTTCCTCCGACCGAATGGCGGCAGGACCGTCCATGTCTCTCCCGCTCAGTCTCGAGCTCTCCCTCGTTTGCCGGGCACTATTGTTGGGAACTACTCATACTAAAACATTTGGACATGAGGCCAGCCCTCGGCCTACCAAGAAAAGAAAATAATAAATAAATATCTTTTGAAGAAAAGTAAAATTCATTATTAAGAGGAACTAGGTAAAAAAAGTTGAGAGATAAGACTCTCCCCATTTTTATTTGGATTTAGAAGTGATATCTTGAATTTTTATGGGTAGATAAATAAACCAGCTCATTAGTGGCTCACAAGCAAATTTGGAATCATTTCTCATTAGTATTGTTTAAGAACTATTTATTTAGTCTATAAAAAGAACACAAAATTATTTATGTTTATACTTTTAAGTAAGTTAAAAGTTATCATCATGTTTGTCTATTTTTCTACCGTTGATCCTTGAGAGGTTAGGGTAACCATTATAATAGAAGTGTTTGAGTCATTTGGTGGGTAAGAATGAATTAGTTTTCACTTAAAATCATAATGTGATAAGCCCATAAATAACAAAAATGAGAAGCCCAAAAGGACCAACAAGAGGTCAATCCCAAACCCAAAATATCTACACTAAACAATAAAAAGATGTAGAAGCAAAACATGACAAAAGAATCGGTTAGCACCACCGAACGTGCCACCACCAGAACCAGTTAATCATCTTTAGTCTTTATCTTCCATTATCTTGTAATTACTAGTCTTCAACTTTTTTAATCTTATCTCAATTCATAGAAGCAGGAAAGTTGGTTCATTTCATTGTGTATTTAAAGCCTCGTGCTGGTGAATGAAGGCATTGAATTTTGATAACAACCTTCTAGTTTAATTCTCACCAAAAATAGAATATATTTCTTACATCTCTAATTTGAACCTATCATTGGTATCAGAACCAGGTTAGCTTCGAACAAAGAACGAATTGAGAACCTCGAGAATGGCTTGGGCTGGTTGTAAGATATCGTTAGTCGGCTAAAAGTGGGGATGGTTGATAAGTTCCACCTCATCGAGGAAAATTTGCAACGCCTCACAAACACCGTGATGTCCAGCCATGAAGGCCCTGCCAAAAAATCCATAAGCTGGCTTGGACAGACCAGAACCATCAAAGACGACGACCCTGAATGCACAGATGCGACTCGACAGAACTTCTATTTGAATCTAGCCAAACTAGAATTTCTTACCTTCACCAGCAGTGATTCGACGAAGTATTAAGTAATTCTTCGAGTTTTAAGGGACCATCGATGATAATAAAGTTATCATGAACGTATTCCACCTCGAGAGAAAAGCGAATTCTTAGTGACAGTGGCTCCGAAAAATGTATCATGAAGAAGGCAGAGAAATTACCTAGATCGGGTTCACCACTAAGTTGCAAGCTCGTTATGAGCCACCTGAATGTGAGGATTTTGATGAGGCTATTTTCAGAATTTGGTAAGTGGGCTCACTCAGGGACTACTAAAAGGAATGTGAGAAGTTTAATAACAAGGTCTAGGGCAAGACTCAAAAGGCTTTAGTGGGGACCTTCATGGGCAGGCTCAAGCTTGAGATCGTTGATCGGATCCGATTATTTAAGTCCACAACACTAACAAAGGCCATCAGCTTGGCCCGGATGCGGGAATACCAATTGGGCTGCTAGCATAGAGCCATCAGGGTCGGGTGTAATCCGCCTCCGAACCCCACCTCATAGCATCCCAAGCCCAAGCCCCCGACGTAGGACAACCAAAACGACTATCTTAGGAAGAAATACAACATTGTCTCCTGCAGGGGCTCTGCTTCCACTGCAATGAAAAATTCACTTCAGGCTACCGTTGCCACCAATCATAGCTCCTGGTTATGGAAGGAGCCAAGGATGAAGATGAACCCGACAACACTGAAAACCTCGAAAATCTCTCCATGCGTTCGTGGGATGTACCATCGCCCAAACGATGCGATTATCGATCACCATTGGCAAGCAGAGGATGACGACTCTCATTAATAGTGGCTCAACCCATAATTTTATCAATAAAAGGATTGCTGACAACCTACAACTTTTGGTGATACCAATTGAGTCATTGCAAGTAAAAGTGGTAAATGGCTAGCCCCTGCAATGTTAAGGGAGGTTTAGCAGCATGCTTATCATTATACAAGGCATCCCCTTTTTACGTTACTCTATATGTTTTGTCTTTAACTGACCTAGATTTAGTGATAGGAATCTAATGGTTAGAGTTGTTCAGTATCATAACCTATGATTGAAAGAAGATAACCAAGAAATTTCTCTGGAATGGCTAGATGCAGAAGTTACAGGGCACCGGTGAACAATCCATCCAAGCGACCTCCATGAGGTTAGTCACTAAAACTCTTCAGCAGAAAAATATAGTTGTGGCAGTATGCACGCAATTAGAAGAATTATTGACATAATACAATGATATATTTCAAGAGCCAACTGAGCTCCCACCAATTAGAGAAATTGCCCATCAAATTAATCTTAAAGAAAGTACTAATCTGATCAACATTAGACTCTACAGATATGCTTATTTTTAAAAAATTGAAATTGAGAAATAGGTTTAGGATATATAAAAAATGAGGATCATCAAGCCGAGTGTTAGCCCCTTCTCATCCCCGATGCTATTAATCAAGAAAAAAGACGGTATGTGGTGCTTTTATGCTGACTATAATGCCTTAAACGCGATCGCCATTAAGGATTGCATCCCCATTCCCACCATCGACAATATGCTTGATGAATTGCAGGAGGCCACCTTCTTCACCAAATTAAACTTGACTTTCGATTATCACCGAGTTAGGGTACATCCACCAGACACATACAAGACGGCCTTTAGAACCCATAATGACCACTGAGTAGTTGGTCATGTCGTTTGAGTTATACAATGCGCCGTCAACCTTCTAAGCCATTATGAACACCATATTCCAACCATATTTGCGCAAGTTCATTCTGGTCTTCTGTGAAGACATTTTAATTTATACCCTTAACTGGAATTTATATTTTGAGCAAGTCAAATATACTTTTGAAATCTTACAGCAGCATCAATTCTTGGTGAAAATAAAAAAATGTATGTTTGGACAATAAAAGTTAGAGTATTTGGGGCATATCGTTACTCCTCAAAGAGTAAAATTGGATCAAGACAAGGTATAAGTTATGATGAATTGGCCAAGATCTGTTACTATCACTAAATTACAAGGATTTTTAGGATTAATAAGATATTATAGGAATTTTGTCCAGAACTATAGAAGTATAACCAGACCATTGACCAACTTACTTAAAAAATGGCCAATTTGGGTGAAATGAAGAAGCAGAATCCGTCTTTATTGCAGTTAAGCATGCTTTCACAAACACTCTGACATTAGCCTAACCTAACTTCAATGAACCATTCATCATTGAAACAGATGTCTCGAGGAATGAAATTAGTGTCATCCTGACACAACAAAGAAGACCTATTGCATACATGAATCAAGCATTAGAAGTAACCAAACAATCATGGTCAATTTACGCTAAAGAAATGTTAACTATTGTGGTTATAATACAAGTCTGGAGGCCTTACTTAATGGGGTATAAATTTTATATCAAAACAGACAAGTGTAGTCTGAAATACTTTTTAGAACAATGCATTGCTACTCCAAAACAATAGAAGTTGGTGTCCAAGCTGTTTGGATATGGCTATAAGATCACTTACAAGCATGGGAAGGAAAATATTGAGATCGATGCACTCTCAAGACAAATGCATTACCCATCTTTAGCTGCCCCTATTCATCTCCCACCACCAAATATGGGAAGACATAAAGAAAGCCATAACAAGTCATCCTCACATGACATATTGGGAAATTAGCCTCCGACAAGCCTGATTGACCCTATAGTTAGAAGAATAGACTTATCCTCTACAAAAATAGAGTGATGATACCACCCAGGTCAGAAATTATCCAACAACTTTTACAAGCTTATCATGATTCACAGATAGAAGACCACTTTGGAGTCCTCCGTACTTACAAGAGACTTGCCCAACAATTTTATTGGCCTTCCATGCGGTGAAGAGTGCAAGAATACATGGCTGCTTGTCAAACATGTCAACGTGCTAAATATGACACACTATCCCCAACTAGACTTCTATAACCTTTGCTGGTTCCTTACCAAGTATGGGACAACAACATTGTAAATTTTATTTAGTGGTTACCACCATCTAGTGGAAAAAATACCATCTTGGTTATAATTGACTACCTTAGCAAATCAACACATTTCTTGGTCTTGTCTCATCCTTATACAGCTAAGGTGGTAATTGAAAGATTTGTTGAGGGAGTAGTCAAGCTCCATGGAATGTCACGTTCCATCACAAGTGACTAAGATTCAATCTTTATCAATCATTTATGGAATGAGTTCTTTAAAATGTCAGGTACATAGCTAAAAATGAACTCTTCATACCATCCTTAAACCGACGGACAAAAAAAGGTGGTTAATGGATATGTTGAACAATACCTTCGGTGTTTGGCTCATCAATAGCCTTGCAAGTGGAACTCCCTTCTTCCATGGGGCGAATTCTTGTGTAACATTACTTTCCACTCGTCTATTGGAATGACCATTCCAAGCTTTTATGACTGACCTCTGCCCACCATTCCTCACTATCAAACAAGTACGGCCACGAGGAATGAGGATGACCAATAGCTCAATGACCAAAACAAATTGCTCACACAATTTAAAGCCAACTTAGATGCTGCCACCAACCACATGCAACAAGTGACTAATGCCAAAAGGTGCCATTTGGAATTCCAAGTGGGAGAGTGGGTTTTTCTCAAGTTTTAACCATACTGCCAGCATATAGCCTTTCGAAGAGCTATCTAAAAACTCTCATGTAAATTTTATGGTCCCTACTAAATAGAACAAAAGTTGGGACCCATGGCATATAAGCTCAAGCTACTTGCCGGATCCAAAATTCATCTTTTGTTCCATGTCTCACTACACAAGAAGAAAATTGGAGAATCAGTCCTTCAAATTAAAGATTTAGCCCCCACCACAAAAAAAAAGAGATTTTGTGCTACAAACTTGTAACAATTCTTGACACACATTGGATTAAGAAAGGCTCAAAGTTTGTAGAAGAGAGCTTGGTTAAATGGTAGTAGTTACCACCTAAATATACAACATGAAAAAATGCTCAAGAGCTCATGGATATATTCCTCAACCTAAATCTTAAGGACAAGGTTCTTTCCAACGAGGGGACGATAATAAGCCCAAAAATGATAGAAATGAGAAGCCTAAAAGGACCAACAGGAGGCCCATCCTAAACCTAAAATATCTGCACTAAACAACAAAAAGAAGCATAAGCAGAACATGGTAAAAAAATTGATCAGCACCACCGAACATGCCACCACTAGAACCGGTCAATCATCTTTAGTTTTTATCTTCCATCATCTTATATTGCTAATTTTTGGGTTTTTTAGTCTTATCTCAATTAGTAGAAGTAGGAAAATTGGTTCATTTCATTGTGTATTAAAGCATTGTGTTGTTGAATGAAGGCAATGAATTTTAATAGCAACCTTCTGGTTTAATTCCCACCAAAAGCAGAATAAATTTTTTACCTCTTTGACTGGGACCTATCATAATGAATAATATCTTTTTATTTATGGTTTTTTGTAAATCAGATGTGTTCTCAATTACATCTTATTACATTAATTCTCAGAGACAAAGTTAAAGATTAACATAGATGGATAGTTTGAAAAAAAAAAGGTGAGATTAGAATGGGTGTAATTGCTCCTAATATTTTCGGGTCATATTTGTTTCTATGATCAAATAAAAGGGAATAAATAACAACTCAATTTCCGTTGTTGAAATGTTAGCATTGTGGTTCCAATCACAATGATCGTATGGAATTTGGCTTAGTTTAAATCAATGTAAAAGAGTTAAAAAGAAATTTTTATTTTATTCCATTTAGTTTTGCAACTAGATTTACCAATCTTATTGATAATAAGGAGTTTGGTTGATGCTCCATCTCTTTTACCAAAAAAGTTATTTATGTTGTTTTATGTTTGTCTTATTTTTATTTGATTTATCTTTATTATTATTATTTTTTAAAAATTTGTCTTATAAACTAGAAATTAAATGGAAATTGAACCATATACCAACTGAAGATAAAATCATATTATATCTAAACATGCTTAGCATAAGAAAAAATTGTATGATATTTGGATCCAAGGTAACACAGTTTTTCCTCCTATGGATAGTCCAAAAACAGATTAATTAATTTGAATTTTGAAGTGATATTATCTTTTAGGAAGGAAAGGGGAAAGATGATGGTAAAAAGAGAAAACTAATGATCCAAATCTCTCCTCGGGAGGTATCTTCATGTAAATGTCACAAATACTTTTCCTTTCTATGCAGTCATTTATGACTTCAACAGGGAAAAAAATGATACCACCTGTTTTAAAAACTTGAGTACATGCAAAACTTGTGAGATTATAATCATTTAAAGCATGGAGAAGCAGTACACCAGATGTTTGCAGTGTCAACTACTAGTATAGTATATATAAATAGATACATGTATGGTACTAGCCAGCAGTTTTCCGAAAGTACATATACACTATTTGCTATTATATCAGTTGAAACAAAAACTCAAAGATCTTCCTCTCGACGTTATCCATTAGCTCTAGTTAAAACATCTCAAACGCAATTTGTCTTCTGCACTTTAGTTAAAACATCTCGAACTCAATTTGCTCTTCTACACGCAGCAATTCATCGCATTTGTAGCTCTCCTTTTTGTGCACTGTCGTACCTGCTCCAGTTCCTGTGTCACAGAACCTAGGCAGCTCCGGTGGTGTCGCACACCGTATCAAAGCCCAATTAAGTCCTTCAAAGAAAGGGTGTTGTTTGATTTCTGCTGCTCCTTTGACAGATCCAAGTCGATTCTCAGGTTCCTTTACCAGCAAATCTCTGATCAAATCCCGGGCATGAAAACTAACTACGGGGGTACTAGGGAACCTGAGGCTCTGAGACACCACATTGGATAGCGTTTCATCATTTCCAGAGCCCTTGAAGGGCGTTTTACCATACAAGAGCTCAAACAGGAAGATTCCAAACATCCACCAATCAACAGCATTCCCATGTCCTTCACCTTTGATGATCTCTGGGGCCAAGTATTCATGTGTCCCAACAAATGAGTTTGATCTGGCACTGGTTGGCTCCACTACAACCTGAGGTAACGGACTTACTTGAGCACCCGCATCAACTTTTACTCTTCGGGGTTTTGCCGAAACTGATTGGAGTCTTGGAGTGAAACATGGAACTTGAAAGGATGGATGAAGGCAGAAAGGGTCAATACAACCATCCCCAGTGCAAGGGCTCGAAATCTTTTTTGCAGGTTCTTGGGTAGGTGGAGATGACTTAAGCAGTATTGGATTCACCACACATCTGAGAGACAAATCAAAATCTGAGAGCATTATGTGACCATTTTCTCGAACAAGGATATTTTCTGGTTTCAAATCTCGATATACAACACCAAGCATGTGAAGGTACTCCAATGCGAGAAGAACTTCAGCAACATAAAATCTGCAAATTGAATTAGAATGACTCTTTCCAGTGAGGAGCAAAGGACTAGAAAAGGTGATTTATTCCAATAATAAGCAAAGAAGCCTTTGTCAACTACAGCTTTGAATAACAGAAGACAGATGTGTTCTACAACCAGTAAGCAGGAGAATGAAAGAGATGCCACAAACAGATAATAAAATACAACAATGGAAGTGGAAAAAACAATCATACCATCAAAACATAAATAATAAAATTCATAAAGAAAATCCAAACATCAATAAAAGATCAATACCTGGCTGCATGTTCTGAGAAACTCCTGCATGGTTGTTTCTGCCGCAGCACATGTAAATCACCACCTGGACAGTACTCCATAACCAAGCAAGACAGCTTCTCTGTTGCAAAATGAGCATAAAGTGTAGGAAGAAATGGATGATCTAGCATTTGCAGAATCTCTCTTTCAGTTTCGGCCCTTGGCATTTTTTTCCTACTCATCAAAAATTCAGTGTCCATCACTTTCAAAGCAAATAAGCAATTTGTACCCATGAGCTCAGCAAGATATACAGTCCCAATATCCCCACAACCAAGTTTTCTCAGCAGCTTGAACTGCCTCAAGCCCAGGCTGCCATACTGCTTCTGAACAAGGTGAATTGCTTCCCACCTTGCATCTTTTGACATATGAGGCCTACTGCCAATACGATTAGACCCACTTAGACTGCTTTCCTCACTAATGCTTGTTGTGCTGCTATAATCACCGATGCTACTTTTTGAACTCTGGGAGAATTCTCCCTTTTCTCTGAACCTTGATCTTTCATCAGCTTTTGCTACTGTGAGTTTGATTGGGTTACCACAGTTCAAACTAATCTCTGGTTTGCTTCCACATGTGTCCACAGTGTTTGAATTGACTTCTATACTATTATTTTTGCTGCTGGATGCTGGGGAGGCTTTCAGATTTTCTTCACTTTCATCCTTAGCTGTATGGTTGGTTGACCTGCAGTCTGAGTAACTTGTGCTCGGACCCAAATCATTACTGACATTTCCATTGAAAGGATGGCTGCTGCTGCAAAAAGTTGAACCCTGCTTCACTTTTCTCTTGATGAAGCTTTTGTTCCTGAAGACTGGTTTTAGTAACCGCGGAGTGTTGCTAACAGAATTGTTTACCTTACTATACACAATAGGACTATTCAGAAGAGCTCCACTATGGAGCTTGTCTTTTTGATCTCCATCTGGAATTGAAGGTTTGGCTGGAACATCGGTCCAGGCAGGAGATATCACTTCTAACTCCTGTACTTTCTCACCATTGCAGATAGGAGGAGCATCATGTCTCAAATTTTTCGTGCTAAACCCTGCATTTGATACTTTACTTCCAGATACTGTTTCCAAAGGCACAATCTGATCCAATGAAGGTAATTTGGTCATGACTGCCTTTAATTTTGTCGCACTATCAGATGGAGAAGAAGAATGAGTACTTTGATTAGGAAACTCTGTAAAAGGCACTTGCAGAGATTCTATCATATCTTCAGAAGAATAAGATGTGACCTTTTCTGGTATAAGGGAGATTTTAACCAAATTTCCTTTACTTTCATTCAAACGAAGGCCAGATCCATTAGCCTCAACTACTACTGTCCTATATAATCTTTTGATAGCTCCTGCTTCAGAGACTCCTAAAGAACCTGATGGCTTTAATAGTTTCTTCTTCATGGCAGCCATCTCTGATGCTTGAGAGATGCATAGTCCCCTGAGTGCCTGTTTTAGACTCACATGCTCTGAGATTCCAATTCCTGATGCTTGAGATGAGCCAGCTCTAACAGGTCTTTTCATGGCACTTTTTCTTAAACCATCTCTGCTAGCTGAGGTTCTGATATCAATTGCCTCAAAGAGACGGTTGATATTATCCTCTATGGAATACTTATTTCCTGAATTTGGCATAATATGCTTTCCATTTCTCCCACCCATACTCAATTCATTTTCCAACCCTTCAATTGATTCAACAATCTCAGAAGTGCTGGGAAGAGTATCCATCTCCCCCAAATTCATTCCAACACTAACAAATCTAGATATTAATTCACAAAGTTATACTAACCCATTTCTGATAACATAGTTCGAAGGTAGAAAAGCACTGAGTAGAGATAGAATGTCACATATCCCTCAAAGTTGTCCTCGACCATAATGATTGCAGAATTGAATGGCAAGAAAAACAAAGAGAGGCCTTTAAAAAACTCGGGATGAAGCACCCCAATCCTGACATTATCAAGGAATTTAAGGTAAGTACAATAAAAAATTTTATGCTGAGAGCATAAAAGAGACCCTAATACTGTGAAGGCAACAGTTGCATAGGAGTTAATTTCAGGAACCCTTACATATATAAGTAAGACATTAAACTTCATCTTAATCACTCTTCAACTAATCAAATTCTGGTTGAGAAAGCTGAAATGAGGAAGCTGACTCAACTAAAAAGAGTCATATACAGATGCACTAATTATCTCCTACTTCATACCAAGAATTCAGTTCGGGAAAGATGCACAGATGAAGACTTTAGCTTTCATACACACTATCATGCATTTAAGAAGCAAGGTCAAAATAGGACCTAACATTTGCAACCACCCTGTTCAAAACTTAGTTGGACCTTTAACGCCTCAAAACAAAGAGAAGAACCCCGCACTAGCTAGAAAATTTCCAGCATACCTAAGAACTTTAATTATGCTTTCAAGTTTAGAACCCCTTTCCATTTTGCACTTATGAAAACTGCTGCCATGGAAGCTCACTTTTCTTTGAAGAAAAAAAAGTCCTGAAAATCTGCTAAAATATTATATATTCCTTACAAATATTAATTAAATTCTTGTCCTAAATCTTAAATTCCTCATCATAGAAAGCTATTGACAGTTACAAAAATGATCAGAGATGTCAAATACTAGAAGGAGATAGTCTCATTTTATTTTCATCCTAAGTGCAACAATTACTGAACTTGATACATAAACTTGAGAAAAGCAAGTGAAAAAGGAAAAGGAAATCAAATGATAGAAGTACAAGCTTAAATTTATAAAAGGAAACGAATATAAGAAAAAAAAAAAGCCAAATCAGAATCATAAAAACCTTTCTTCAATTCCTTTTACTTCAAACATGTATATTAGTCCTTCCTTACATAAATCAGAACCCACAAACCGAATAAAACCGAAAATCCTAAAAAAGAAAACTGAGAGAAAGAAGCCATAAACGTGCAAATAGAACATAATATATATATATATATATAAAGAAAAGCAAAAACAGAAATACCTGATTGCAGTAACAGACAAGGAGATCAAAATAGGAAAGAAAGATGCTTTCAGAATACGCTCAACTAGAGTTGATTGGAAGACCCGGACAATTTTGATTCCGAAGGGAGAAGAAAAACTAGGGTGGAAGTGCAAAGAGAAAGAGAAGGAAAGGGAGATTCTGCTTTTGGAGGGTTAGGGCACGAGAGACAGTGGCTGCGAAGTGAATGGGGAAAGAGAAAAAGATAGGTGGAAATACAAATCACGGGAAGTTCACTGTTTCCTTTTCTTTCTAAAATGGCGGAAACAGATAACAGATACTCACCCCTCTCTTCCACAAACTATATATATGTGTATATATGTACATACCCTTTATATATACACCACACAGACAGATTCTTTCTTCCATTATATTACATGTGCAAATTCCAAAATTTCACCTTTGTTTGAGGATGTGAGTTAATTTAAACAGTTATTTTTAAAAAATTATTGAAACATAAATTTTAAAACTTAAATACCAAGTTTCTGGAAATAATAAGAATGTTTACTATTGTGCAAATTTCAATTTTATCAGCAAGCTTCATTTATTATTCTCTCCTAAGTTAAGTTTTTGCAAAGAGTGCTAACAATATGATCATTTGGTATTTAAAATTTTTTAATTCTATTTTAAAAATTACGAATTTAATATTTTTTAATGTATTATAAATGATAGTATGTTAATAATATTTAATTTATTTAAATAAAAATTTAATTTATTAATATGTTAATAAAATTATAATGATCAAATTAAATTAAATTCCAACAAATTTATTACGTATTAAAAAAAAAATTCACAATATTTTAACTTTTTCAATTAGAATAATTACATCAATCAAAATTTTGAATTAATATATATTTTTTTTAAACCCAAAAACTCACTGTCTAGAATATCTTTAAGAGGAAAACTCAAGAGTGTTGTTTAGTTTCTCCTTTTCCTTTTTGTCATTATATATTTTGGCTAATAGATGAAATTTTCTCAGAAAAATTTCAACTCTTGGTCCACCCTCAATTAAAGTCAAGTCTTCACTTGTTTCATATAATTAAAGAAGAAAGGTTTATAACAAATAGAGAAATTTCCTTTTCCGAAATGTACAGAATAAATTAAAAAGAAAACTAACAACATAATGTTATTTATTAAAATTTAAAAAGTAAAAAACGTCTGATATATTAGATGAAATTTTTTCAATGAAATTTTTTCAATTTTCTATATGTAACATCTAATTATTTTTATTATTTTTATTATTTCTATATAAATATAAATATGTATTAATTTAATTTAATTTAATGGCAGGGATCTGCCGAAGCACGGCGGAGCTGCCGTGTCGGATTTTCGAAATTGACCGAGTAGGCCCTGAGTTTGATTTTTGAGTTTATTTGGGACACTTGTAGGTATCATAAGCGCGTTTCAGTTCCCGATGAAAAATTTAAGGAATTCAGGGATCGTCCGTAGGCGTAGTAACCATCTAGTTTTCAGCGTCAAATTAAATAAGGACCCCTCACCTTATTTCCTATCATGAAATTAAAGTTTGAATAAATGATAATACTGTATTTTGTACAAATTAAATAGATATGCATAATTAATTAAGGTTGCTAATGGAGCCCAAACCGGACATTATTCTTTGTCGATTCCTGCTTGATTTATTTTACAGTTTAAATGCATTATGATATCTGGTTTATCTATTCTATAGTTTTAAATGTATGTCTTACTGTCTTATTTGACCACTGTGTAATTTTGAAATTTAAGATATGATTGTATTACTGGGTGCATGTTTATTATTTATGTGATTATGTTTAACCTGGTAACAGAGACTAAAGAAAAACAGATGAGGTGACAGGCTCACTAAATATCTTGGGAGATGGTGGACAGATCGGGTTCACAGGGAACCCTACCGTGAACGTTGTCTCATATCAGACTGTGTATGGAGATTTGGTCATTTGGCGCTCATACCGGACGAGGTATGGGGACGGCCCACTTCACCCTCATACCGGACAGAGTATTGAGGTTTAATGCCTTGGTACTCATACCGGACGGGGTATGGGGACGACTCTATAATTAAGATTGTTAAGAAAAATGGTTTATGTGTAGCGGAGACACCCCTATGGATCTCCATGGATATTAGTAGGCTGGTGAAAACGAGAAACGGTAATAATAAGTTATTGTTAATGAATACGGATTTATGATATATTTTATGTTACTGATTATGCATAAAATTATGATCTGTATGATATTATTGTCTTTATAGGTTATTTTCACAGGTTCTCCAATGGTAAGAAAAAAGGTAAATAGTTTTATTTTATATAAATGTATTGGTTTAAATCTACTGCTCCATTGGTTGTTTTGATTTTCTACCAGCCTTTCCTTCTGTAGCGGTAATATAGTGTGATATCTTTATTGGGATAGTGTAGCTCATTCCTTATTTAACTATTTCAGATCAAGAGGACCTGGTTCCCGAACCCGATCCACAAGAAGACTGCAAGTAGATGCTAGATACTTTATAGTTTCTTTTATTTTTCTCATTTCTCGTATTTTTTTCGGAGAACTTATTATGTGACATTGTTTAGTTCTTTTAAGTTATTGTGTAAGGGATGTTAAGCTTAATTTTTTATTTCCCTTCCGCACCCAGATCATTATATGTATTTTCTTTTAAATTTTTGGAGTCGTTACACTATATCTCTCAATTTCGGTTCCTATATAATTCGTCTAATTAAAATGTTATAAAACTTAATTCATCTAATTAAAATGTTATAAAAGTTTTTAATTAATGTGTATTTAGCATGTTAAAGGACCAAATTTTCTTCCATATTTTCTTTATATTTTATCCCATAATTTGAAATATTGATATATATTCTTTAATCATTTTTCAATATTTTTATAAATATATTGCTTATATATAATACTAAATAATAAACTAAAACTTATCATTATCTCCCATATCATTTACTTATAAATAGAAAACCTTTTTTTCACCTACCTAATCTAGATTTCTGGCTTCCACCACTAGTAAAGGAGTGCAGGCTCTTATTTATAGTCAAAACAATTTCCTTAACAAGATTCATGTTTGTATTCAATTTTGAGATATAAAATGATTCTAAAAATTGTGCTTCATGTCATGAAATATGTCTTGATTCATTTATTTACCTTATCCAACTCTTGGAAAAGTGATTAATTAATGAATTATGTTTTTATCTTCTCAAGAAAAATAATCTTATTAAAAACAAAGTTTTTTTAAAACTAATCAAACTTCGATTTTATCTTTTGGTGAGTCATTTTCTTTTTCAAATAATTTTTGAAACGTTAAGAAGATGGTGTAAAATCTAGACAGACAAGTATTTTATATCAATAATTGAATAATAATATAATTTATAAAATTACTATATGCCCTTTATCACATAATTAATTAATATTTAATAAATTATGTTTAATGTCTTTTAATGAATAGACTGTTTATTTTTATTGGTTCACAAATTACTTAACCCACATAAATTAAATGAACTTTCACTCTACAAGAGAAATTGCTTCTATTCAATCACATGGAGAGGGTACAGGGGTTAACACTGTTAACTTGCATCAGAACCCACCATTGCAAGATATGTTAAAACTTAACGGTGACGTCTCTATTGATATATAGATGGATATACAAGATTTTGAATTATATGGAGAAATTATAACGGGATTGATCTGTTCACATATATAAGAAAAGTATCCACTCTACTATATGTTGATATACAAAATATGATTTAGGAATTGTAAATAGTATTATGGATGATAATCACAAGAATACATGTGGAAAGAAATCCAAAACGGGTCGAAAATCTTATGACTCAGACATATAATTACCTAATCTGAATATTGATGTAGATGATTTATTTTATTTGTATCATAGTATTGATGTAGTTTTTGTTAAGATCTAACACATTAAAAAAAAGATAAATTAGTAATTTAAAAAGAAAAGAAAAAAAAAAAAGAAGAATGGTATACATATATATATATATATATATATGTTGCACATTAAGCAGAAAAAACAAAAAAGAAAACAAAATTTAGAAAAAGAGTGGTTGTGTAAAGAAAGAATGGCATACATATATACATATATATATATATATATATATATGGTAGAGTGGTAAAAAATCTTTTAACTTCTGTATAAAAACAAGTTGTTTCTTTTATTCTGGATTTAATCTTTGTTAGATTATCTTATATTTATTTTTGTTTACAGTGGATTTGATTCGGTGTTTGGTCTATAATTTTTTCTTTCACGTTGAGGGATTTTTCACGTAAAATCCTGTGTTTACTTAATTTTAGGATTATTATCTGCTTATTATTTTTTGTTCGGTTGTGGATCAATTTGACTTTGGATTATTATAATTAGTTCCTGGGAATTAATTTGAAATTACCTTAATTTATATAATTAATTATATCCATGTTCGGGACCCAACAAGTAGTATCAGAGTCTGGTTGATCTGTGATCCGGAATTAATTGTACAGATTAGGATGGACAAATATGCATGTACTATGATTTTATTGTCGACTTCAAATTATTCAATTTGAAAGACGAAGATGGAAGATCTTCTTTATTGCAGAGATCTGTATGATCCTATTAAATTAGCAACTGTCAAGCCAACTGGAAAATCAGAAGATGATTGAGAGAAAATGCACACGAAAGTTGGTAGAACTATTCGACAGTGGGTGGATATTAGTATCCATCACTATATAAGTAAAGAAGTCAACACACAGGATTTATGAAAAAAATTAGAGAATATGTGTGAGAGAAAAAATGCTCAAAATAAAGCTTTTATAATTAGAAAGTTAGTGAATATAAAACTACGAGATAGACAATCAATAGCAGTACACTTGAGTGAGTTCCAAAATCTGATAAATCAATTGAATATTATGAAATTAACCCTAGATGATGAAAATGTAGGCATTATTATTTTTGAGTTTGTTGTCAGATAGTTGAAAAACTTTGGTAGTGTCTTTTAGTAACTCTGCTCCATATTATATTTTGTCTTCATCCATGGTAAAGAATAGTCTCTATAATGAAGAGATCAGAGGGAAGGATATGGACATTGATACCTCACAAGCCCTTGTCACAGAGGGCAGGGGTAGAAGTAAAAAGCAGAGATACTAAAGGACGAAATAAAGGTAAATTCAGTTGTTATCATTGTGGTAAGGAAGGACATATGAAATAGAATTGTAGAATTTAGAAAATGGAACAAAATAATCAGAAAAATGCAGATGATTAGAATAGCACAACAATTGTAACTCATAATGAAGAACTAGTTGTACTTTATTTTATTGAGAAT